TCATCTACCTCACTATCAGCCTCCTGCTCCCCATTCCCCTCACTGCATCCCCACTGGCAGGTGCGTCTCTTCCGCTCTCTGCCCTCTCCACAACTCCCTTCTTCTCCTTCAAGTCCTTGGTGGTGATCTCGGAGCTTGTGTCTGTCCACAGCTGCATCTGACATGGTGGGGCACCCCGGTGATCCGATTCAGTAAAAAAATCTCCCACTACAGAGGCGGTGGCAGGCGGCGAAGGAGCTGGAACCGGGAACAATGCAATGCTGGCTTTTAAAAGCAGCTGTCTTTGCATCAATTTCTTAGCAACAGATGTTCCAATGATTTTAGTTTGTATTCTTCTGAACATTAATGATATTGAACACAATTTCATGTACTTAACAGGGCATTCATGTGTCTCCTTTGGTGAAGCATGTGCAAGTTTTAAAACTAGGTTTATTTTCCCCTAACCAAGAAGCCACTTGCAATTGATAACCACTAGTAGCAAAGGGAAAATCAGTTTTCTTCAATGGAGTCTCACTGGTTTATCAACACTCCAGGGCAGGTCACGTCCAGGAGCAGTTGGCAAATACAAAATAAATGCTATGGGTATTGTTTTGTTTTCTGTGGACTTTTTGTTTCACTTTGAGATTTTTGGTCTTGCTGGTTTGTTTGTGGGGTGTTTTAAGAGAGAGAACACAAAGCTAGGTGTGTCGGATCGAGGAGGAGTTGGAGGAAGAGGAAAATATGATCAAAATAGTGTGTGAAAAATTTATACAGAAATGAAAACATGGGTTGTTTTTTCATTTTTTAATATATAATTTATCTTATTTCATGTTCATTGGTGTTTTGTTTGCATGTATCTCTGCGTGAAGTATGAGATGCCCTGGAATGGGAGTTACAGACAGTTGTGAGCTGCCATGTGGGTGCTGGGAATTGAACTCAGGTCCTCTGGAAGAGCAGTCAGTGCCCTTAACCACTGATCCATCTTTCTAGCCCCTTGTTTTCTTATTCAGTTTTTGAAGTTCTTTATATAGTCTATATATAAATTATTCATCAAGCATATGATTCTCAAGAATTTCTTCCCAGATTTTATCTCCTTTTTTCATAATAATTATGAAGACAGCCATATATGTACTACTAGGCAACCAAACAGATATGGCTGAAGCCAAACTCATCAGCTAAAGACGTCTCTCATCAAAGGATGCAGAACACAACACATAGCAAAAGAGAGCAAAACAAAGCAGGTATTCATTCGAGATCCAAAAGAAAAGAGGAAGATAAAATACTTCTGATCCTCAGAATCAGTGAATTTGAAAAAAAAATAAAAAAAAATGTACACAGCCTCATTCATAAATGGAGGATTACTTATTCCCAGTTTCACTAAACACCAAATGGCACTAAATAAAAGTAGAAACTTCTGACCTCATCTGACACACAACACAAAGTAGGTCTAGAAGCATACAGCAACTGTGCAGAAACACAAGGAACAACATGGCATCTGAAACAAGCCTGAGCCAGAAGTGACCTGGATGAGCATCCCAGTCACAACATGGAGTTGTCACAGGGACTTGTGACATGAACTGCTGGCAAGGGAACCAAATAGCAAGCTTCTACATCAGGCAGATTAAGCAAAGGATGTTTCAGAGCAGATAAATTTGGCCTCTGCCCTCCATGCTCTTGCTACAGTAGCTAAAGTCTAGATTTTTCCTAGGCAATTGTTTATCCAACAAGCATAGCGGTCAGTACCACATTAAAAAAAAAAAAAAAAAGAATGAGTGACCACATTAGTAATTACTTCCAAAAGTCGATCTTGACATTTGTGTTCAATTGATCGCAAGTGTCAGGGCAATCCAGCAGTGATAGGAGATGTCGTTCTGTAAATATGTTTCTCATACTGGTTAATGAATAAAGCACTGTTGGCCAATAGGAAAGCAAGATAGGAGGGACTAGGAGACAAGGAGGAAAGAGGAAGGAGTAAGGAAGAGTCAGCATGGACAGACTGGAGAGAGCAGGACACCAGCCGGCTCTGTGGTAAGATGAGACCACGTGGGAATACATAGATTAACAGAAATGGGTTAATAATTAAGACAGAGCTAGCCAAGAAACTATTACCTGGCCAACAGCATTATATCAAATACAGAGTCTCTGGGCGTTATTTGGGGCTGGTGTGGCGGCGGGACCAGACCAGCGGCGGGAGGAAAACATACTCCTTACACAGCAGGTGAAAGGATAGTGTATTTCATTAAATGATGCTGGAAAAACTGGAGGGTGTGTGTGTGTGTGAGTGTGTGTGTATAAGTGTGTGTGTGTAAGTGTGTGTGTGAGTGTGTATAAGTGTGTATGTGTGTATAAGTGTGTGTGTATGTATGTGTGTGTGTGTGCGTGCATGCATGCATGCATGTGTGAATGCCTGCCTGTGTGTAAAAGAATAAATCTGGATTTATACCTTGTACCATACACAAAAATTAACTCAAAATAGATTATAGACCTTATTATGGGCTAACCCTGTAACCCTGGGAAGAAATGAGGTATAATCTACTGGGCTTGGCCACATGCTGGACATCTAACAGTACAGCAGGGGTGCTGATGTTCTCAGCAAGGGTGGCTGAGTAAACAGGACAAAGGGCTTCCGGGACTCTACCAAAGAACACACTTTTGAGGACTGTGTTATTTCAAAATAGACACCATCTCTGTGAGCACTTCTATCAAATCAAAGAACCAGGGGATTTTGGAACCCCACACAGAATACACAACAAAGTGTCTCTAAACCAGTCAGGGTACCACCTGGACCAGCAGTTTGCAGAGAGCAAAACTTCCCCAGCCCTTGCCCGAGCAGCTTCGAATGAGCCTGACTTCACACCAGTTCAGCATCTCCTCTATCCCAGCCCACATGCCCTTTCTCCCTCACTGCATCTCCTCTTGTCTGAGCTCAAGAGGCAGAGCATTTACTATGCAATTGTTCTATCCAGGACAGACACAGAAATCATGGGGAAAATATTTCTAATATTGTGTTAATTTAAAAATTCGTGGATCAGGATGCAACCATTTAGCTACTGCTCCAGCGCCATGCCTGCCTACTTGCTGTCATGTTCCCTACCATGATGGTGATAGACACACCTCTGAAACTGTAAGCAAGCCTTCATTTAATACTTTCTTTATAAGTTGCCTTCATTATGGTGCCTCTTCACAGCAACAGAAAAGTAACTAAGACTGGCTCCATGGTGGCTATCTATAAAACTTAAGAAAACTATTATTAACTGGGTTATACTCTGTCTCCCTCTCCTTCCCTCCCTCACTCTCCTCTATCTCAGACAGGGTCTCTATGTGCAGACCATACCAGCCGCAAACTCACAGAAATCCACCTGTTTCTTCCTCTCAAGAGCTGGAGTTAAAGGCATGAACCACCATACCTGGCTTCTCTCTCTCTTAAGACAGGGTCTTGAACTCATGATATTGTCAAGGACAACCTTGAACTAATGACCCGCCTATCTTTACCTCCCCAGTGCTGAAGTTACAGGCATATGCCACCATTCTTGGTTTGTGAGGCAGTGGACATGGAACCCCATGCATGGTAGGAAACACTTAACAACTGAATTACAGCCCTGAATACTCTATAGACAGAGCATAAAATGGTAATTACTTAAACCTAGATAAAGTATATAAATATTGTCACCATGACAAAATAAGTTATATGATACTTAAAATTTAGAAAGAGGGAAGAGAGAAGAAGGGATAGGAGGAGGCTAGTGTCCTTTCACAGGTCATGTGGGTTAAGGAAGCTCAAAGAAGCAGAGATTTGGGGCTGGAGAGATGGATCATCAATTGAGAGCACTTGTCGCTCTTTCAGAGGACCTAAATCCTAGCACCCACTCACATGACAGCTCTCAACTGTCTAAAACTTCAGTATAGGGGACTGAAGCCCTCTTCTGGCCTTCATGGACACTGGTCACGCGCATGGTGTACATATATACCTACATGCAGGCAAATCACTTATATACATAAAATAAAAATAAGTCTTCAGAAAAGGAGGCAATGGCAATTCAGACTAGGTCTCTCTTATCCAAAAGCTCAAAATCCAGCACTTTTTGAGTTCTAACCTTACTTTTGGATTAGGGATAGTCAACCAATGACATCTATGTAGCATTTCCAACCTGACAAACTATGAAATCTGAAACACACTGAATAAGCGATCCTTAACCTGTACATTCACAGAAGTAAACAAAAACAGCACATCACTGATAAGCTGGGAAGTCGAGAGGCAAATGCAGCCAGTGTGCGAGTCCTGCAGACATCTACAGCCTCTCCTTCCAGATGACACACTCTTAGCAGCATCCAACTAGGCCAAACACTTGCCCAAGGTTAAATGTGTAGTTAGTTTCAGACTAAGAAAAAAACTAAACTAATCCTCTAGTCTTGTTATTATCCAGAAAAGTCATTCCATAACATGTACCTACTTTCCAATGCTACACAGAATGCTGAAAGATTTCCCTCACTGTCAACTGCTCAGACATGTTCCCTGTTCACCCACTTCATTCCTTAGTCTTGACGGAACGACCAGATCAACCCTGAAGAAATAAAAGCAGCCTGTCTGGTCAACGCCATGTTTCAGGGCTAGAAAGGCGGACTCCTGTGCTTACTGACCAGTCAGCCCAGCCTACTTGGAGAGTTACAGACCAGTGAGATCCCATCTCACAAAACAAGGTGAACAGGTCCCGAGAGACAACACTGCAGCTGTCCCTGGACTCCACAGCAATGGTTCTCTACCGTCCTAATGGGACCCTTTAATACAGTCCCTCATGTTGTGGGGGCCCCAACCATAAAGTCATTTTCATTGCCATTTCATAACTGTAACTCTGCAACTGTTAGGAATTGTAATGTAAAAATCTAAATGAGACCCATGGGTTGAGAACCACTGGTCTACAGGCTCACAAACTCAAGTGTACCTGCTTACCAACACAATTACTCCTGCATATGACCAGTACTCAAACATACTTTAAAAAAAATCCATTTAGCTCATAACTTACCCCATCCTCAGTGCGCTTTTCCCCAGGTACATTTATTACATTTCTCTGAGTTCTCTGCTCTTGGGTCTGACGGCCACCTAAAGAGATGACAGGATCAAGCTTACTGTGAGGGCCCATCCACACTGTTAACTGGATTTAGAACCACCATGAAAACATCGCTGTGTGCCTATAAAGGGGTTTCCAGGAAGGTTTGACTACGGTGGGAAGACCTACCCTGAATGTGTATACCACCAGGTCACACGCTTGAGTTCTAGACTGAATAAAAAGATGGAGAGAGTTCACGCTCTGCTCCCTGCCATCACAGCCGGCCAGAGCTTTCCCACCTTGTTGGATATAGCCTGCCTTAAACTGTGAGCCAAAAGAAACTTTGTCAGATATTTTTCCCAAGATTTTTTTTAATGTGTGGTTTTTTTTATATGTGGAAACTGAACTTAATTATTTCCAGTTTTTAAAAAACTTATTATCATCGTTATTATTGTTTCTGAGAGACAGTCTCACTATGTGTCCTTGGCTGGCTTGGAACTTGCTATGTAGACTGTGTCTGTGTGGGTTCATGCAACAAGGACAGTACTCACAGAGGCCCCAAGAGGGCCCTGCATGCCCTGCAAGTGGAGGTACCAAAGCTCACCTATAATCACTGTTATCACTTAACTCTACAATATTTATGTATCCGGAAAAAAATTCCCTTATCTTCTGCGAATATAAGTTTTAAAACAGGTGTATATTTTTACAGTTCAAAATTCAAAAGAAATAAGAAAGGTCTATGTTGTGGAATATTACTTTATCAGAGTGCTTACACTCAGTTTTCCTTTTCCTTTCTTTCTTTTTCTTTGTTATTTGCTTTTGTTTTTAAGACAGGAACTCACTATAAGCATTAGCTGGCCTGGAACTCAGTGAGCTACCTGTCTCTGCCTCCTGAATGCTGGGATTAAAGATGTATATAACCACACCTGGCTTTGTTTTTATTTTAAATAGCACACTTACTAGATTTGTCTTTTATAGTATGATGTTACACTGACAAAGGCTTGGTCCACTCTAAAAGTAGAAATTTTTCTCATAACCTTTTCCCTTATTATTTCAAGGTTTTATTTTAAAATGTGGATGTTTGGGCTGAGCATTGGTGGCACACCCCTTTAGTCCCAGCAGAGGCAGATGGATCTCTGTGAGTTTGAGGCCAGCCTGGTCTACAGAGCTAGTTCCAGGACAGCCTCCAAAGCAATACAGAGAAACCCTGCCTCGAACAACCAAAGGAAAAAAATCTTGATGTTTGACCTATGTGTATTTATTAAAATTAATCTCTTCACATATTGCATGTTTACACATTGTCATATTTGAACGTGTCATCGTACCAACTTGGTGTCCCAAGAAAGCACGAGCTTGTACCTACAGGTTGTGACATACTCAAATCTGCAACTGCAGAGGTCAAAGGCACATGGAATACACATTCTCCAACAATTTTGAGTGAAGAAAGGCAATGTGTGAATAATTTTTCCTAAAATTAACTAGTATGATGAAAATTAACAAGTGAATGAAGAAGAAAACATGTAATCTACCTTGTTCACTGCTCTCAGCTGGAGAGTCCTCATGTCGAAGAAAAAATTTCACTTCTTCCCTTCGAGGGCCCCACTTCTGCAGGTGGTCATACATCATGTGGTCATAGGGGATGGGGCGTTCTAGGAGAAAGACTACAGTTTACTCCACAAACAAAACAATGACATGAGACACACTAGAACTCAAGGATAAACACCTTATTTTGCTTTAATGAAAAACACACAAACACAATAATACATGTCAGAGTACATACCCAGCGTCCAATCAGGAACAACTGAAACAGGTCTTTAAAGAGTTACTTATCACAAAGCAGTACACTCTGCACCCTTCAGAGGAATGAAACAAACTAGCTATATTTGTTTGAAATGTTACAATGACAATAGATGGCCAAAGGTCCGCCTGAGCACTTCCTTCAAGTGCTGGCAGATTAAATTCTACTTCAAATATTTTTTAGAATATTAGATTGATTTATTTTATTGTAAGTGTTTTGCCTGTATGTATGTGTGTTCTACATATGTGCGTGCCCTCAGAGGCCAGAAGAGGGCATCAGACCTCCTAGAACTGGAGTTCCGGCCAGTTGTGATCCACCATGTGAGAGTGGGGAATTGAACTGGGTCCTCTTCCCAACCCCTCAAATATTTTTTTAAAGAAGCAAACATTATTAACAGAATGTTCTTTAACCAATCCCTTGACTGGTAAAGAACACTAACATGTCTGTTGCATTTTCTTGTTTATCATGTGGTCCCTTCTCTGAGGCTTAATTCAGGTATTTCTGATACAACAGAAACAATGAACCCTCACTTCGTAAAAACAAACGGAAACTGAGCTTTTTTTTTTTTATTTTTTTGTCTCTCTCTCTCTCTTTGGACTTTTAAATTTTTTTTATTTATTTACATACTTACTTAGAGACAGGATCTCACCATGTAGCTTAGGCTGGCCTGAAATTCACTATGTAAATCTGCCTGCCTCAAGCTGGGTGGCGGCGGCAATGCATACCTTTAATGACAGCACTTAGGAGGCAGAGGCAGGTGGACCTCTGAGTTCAAGGCTAGCCTGGTCTACAGAGTGAGTTCCAGGAGAGCCAAGGCTCACAGAAAAAAACAAGAAAACAACCCCCACAACCCCACCATCCCCACCCCTGCCCCCCCCAAATCTGCCTGTCTCTGCCTTCTGAGTGCTGAGATTATACTTCTGCAGCGCTGGAGAATGGGTCCAGAGCCTCACATGTATACAGGGCTACTACTGTGCCTGTGTGCATCCATGCATATGTATCCCAGAGAACAACCTTGGGTGTCATCCTTTGGGCACTTAGTAGTAGTATTTTTGAGATAGGGTGTCTCCCTGGCCTAGAGCTTGCCCAATGGGCTAGATCAGTCAGCCAGTGAGTCGGGGACCCATGTTCACCACCTCAGCCCTGGGATCACAATCCCAAACTATTACACCAGGCTTTGCCCATTTACGGTTTGTTTTGTTCTGTCTGTCTGAAATAGGGTCTTAAGCCTACTGCAGTCTTTTTATACCTGGCCTTCTGCCATCTCCACACTCTTTGCCTTGAAAAATGAAAACAAAAATGTTTTTAATTGAAAACCGAAGTACCAGTAAGTCTTTTCCAATTTTAGTTCACACTTTTGGTTTTGTTTTCTGTTTTTGAGACAGGATCTCCCCATGTTGTCTGAACTAGTCTTGAATTTACAGGCTCAAGAGGCGGCAGTTCCCATCTCCCATCCTCTGCCTTGGCCTAAGTAGCTAGGGTTACAAGTGGTGTTACGTGCCTGGTTAGTTTTGAGGTTTTTATATAATAATTCATTCTCTTTTACAAGATTAAAAAAAAAACAGACTCTCTTCTGTCCTTTCTAAAATTTTAAAGTATTGATCATAGTGGATTTATTTCTATATACGGAATAAAAGATGTGACTTTACTTTTTCCTACTTGAATAATCAAATCATCCCAAGACCACTTAACTATTATTAGTGATGGATAGTAGGACAGCAAACTTAGTAATTCAATTCTTATCACAAAGCTGAGTTTCAAAAAACCATCTGACATTTCTTGACCCTTTGTTTTCACATGTATTTTATCAGCAGCAATTGGTCAAGATCTTTTTCAAAAGGTAAGGGTTTTTACCTGAAGCCCTACTTACTTAAACATACATTTTGGGAAACCTCATACCTTCGTGTACAGAGTTGTCTGTCTGTAGTGGTTTGAACAATAGCCCCATAGCTAGGCGCGGTGGTGCATGTCTTTAATCCAGCATTTGGGAGGCAGAGGCAGAAGGATCTCCAAGTTTGAGGCCAGCCTGGTCTACAGAGGGAGTTCCAGGACAGCCAAGGCTACACAGAGAAACCCTGCCTCAAAAAAACAAAAACAAAAAACTTAATTGATAATAATAATAATAATTGATTTGATTGTCTCTAAGTGTCCTTTAAACATTTCCATTTGGATATCTATCTTTTTATCACCTCAAACCCAACATGCTCCAATTGATCACTCTTTCAGTATCCAATGTAGACCCATGCACTCCTCAGTTACCAATTATTTTTTCTCTAAGCATTATTTTCATAATGCCATTCCCTATTTAAAATATGCAGAACTGCTTTCTAGCTCTGTGGTACTGGGGCTTTGCAAGAGGGGGTCTGATACCTTCTCTCTAAATCCAACCACTTCTTTATTTTCTGTTAGCTTTTACTTGGTGGGCTTTTTGTGTGTTTGTTTTGTCTTGTTTTTGAGATGGGGTCTCATGTAGCCTGGGATGGCCTCAAACTCACTATGTTGGAGAGTGTAACCTTGAACTCCTGACCCTTTACCTTGAGTGCTAAAATTACAGAATACAGGTATGCACCAATATTCCCAGTTTAAATGCCTCCTTTATTGGGGCATAAACTTGCAGTTTTCTGCATTCTGCAATCATTACATTTGAGAATTTTCTCTGCCTGCTTGCTAACAAGTCTTTTAATATAAGGAATAGGGTTTTATTATTCTCAGCTTAGTATTCTTCAAAGAGGACTTACTATTTATACCATATGCTGTCTTCCTGACATTATTAGACAGGAAAAGAGCTGAGGTACAGCTCAGTGGTAAAGTGTGTACTGAGCATTTATTTGTAAGATCCTGGGTTTCATCCCCAGAACCATAAAATACAACATAACACACACAAAAACAAAACATTAAAAAGAGTTGCTGATGGACCAAGGAGGTCGCTCAGCTGGTAAAGGTGCTTGCCACCAAGCCTGATTTGAGTTTGGTCCACAGAACCCATATTATAGAATGAAAGAACTCAATCCTGAAAGTCGTCCTCTGACCTCACAAGCATGCTGTGGTACACAAGTCCACACAGACCATTAAGCCATCCTGCTAGTCACATGTTACAGAACTGTATCCCCTGTATTACAGCTCCTTTCTACCACAGATAACTGGAAGTCACAGCAACGTTTCCATTTGAGCACACTGAGTTGTATGTAGCCACCATTGGATCGCTTAACTTACCACTTCCTCTCCATACTTCAGCCAGGTGGCAACTACCCTCTCCAGGTTCCTTGCAGAATTCTACAACATCTCGACAGGTGGTTTCTGGTGTTATAGGAACTTCTGTTAAAATCTGCTCGTTGTTGCTCAAGAACACGGTTAATATCATCTGTGAGAGAAAAAGATTAGAATCACAGTTTAGATTCCTCATATAAAGAGCTTACTATTTTTAACTGTTTATGTTAGCAAACACAGTTGTAGGGCTGGAGGCATAGCTCAGCAGTTAAGAACACTTTGTTTTTCTTGCAGAAGATCTAGGTTTAATTTCCAGCATTCCCATGTTGGCTAACAACTGGCCATAACTCTAGATCCACAGGATTCAATATCTTTTTCTGACCTCTGTGGGCACCAGCATGTGTTTGGTACACAAACATACATTTAAGCAGCACACTTATATACTCTTACACATAAAATAAAATTAAAACTCTAAAAAAAATTACATTCCACGGTGTTGAGATGGCTCAGTGGTAAAGGCACTTGCTGCCAAGACCAATGGCCTGAGTTAAATCCTGTGTTTGACCTGGGGGGGCACACTCCCAACATACACACCCCATATGGGGTAGAAGAACGTTCTCCCAAAAACTGTCCTCTGGCAATGCACACAAGATATACATGCCCACACCTCTCCCCAATACAAAATAATAAATGAAAAATAAAACACACAATGTACGAGCTGACACCCCATAATCAGACCCATCTCAAAGGGGAAAATCATAAATGACACAATGCTTCAAACCCAAGCAGGGAGAAGGCCACCTCATAAACGAATGTTTCCCATCTGAAAAACTTAACTTACTCCCTATCTCATGAACTGGCAAGAGTTGCTTCTAAAGGTCAAATATTTTAATTCATTTTAAAATTAGCATTTTATGTGCACAAATTCTTTGCCTACATGTATGCATATGTACCATATGTACTCCTGGAGCCTGCAGAAGTCAGAAGAAGGCTTCCCTGGAGTTATGGATGGCTTGTGAGGCACCACGACATAGTGTTTGGAATCGAACCCAGGTCCTCTGCAAGAGCACAAAGCATTCTTAACCACTAAGTCATCATCTTTCCAGCCCTACCATAGACATAACTCATAAAACCATAAAAGTTCTAGACTAAATAAGGAAGAAGAAAATTCTAGAACACACCTAAGTAAATCTGTTCTTATACCTATTTGGTACAGAAGCCCTTTCTAACTAATAATTCAAAGCAGAATCACAAAAAGATTGATTACTTAAGCACATTAAATATAAAAAATTTTACAAAGCAAAGACAAACTGGGGAATATCTGCAGCTCATATTACAAATAAATGGCTAACTTGAATCTATAAAGAGCCCCTAAAATTGGCACTAAAACACTAACAATCCAATTTCATTAAAAAAAAAAATACCCCAGAAATAAACTTAAGCATCACAGCAAAAGATGAACAAATGGCCTTAAATACACCATGCAAAAATACATCATAATACATTTGAAAAAAATAAAGACTGCCTGACCTATTTTCTTTTTAATCTAGAACAAGGATTCAGCTGTTTTAACATAAATTCTTAAGACACAGTATTGGAAATAATTTTTAAAAAGCATACCCTTTGGGTACAATTTAAACTAAACATTTCCTTTAACCCAGTGGTTCTCACCTCCCCCACCCTTTAATGCAGTTCCTCATGTTGTGGTGACCCCAACTACAAAATTATTTCATTGTTACTTCATAACAGTAAGTTTGCTGTTATGAACCATAATGTAAATATCTGATATGCAGGATAGCTGATTTGTGACCCCACAGGTTGAGAATTGCTTTCAGAAAGCATCCAAAGTTTCATTATTCTTTCATCAAAGGTCAAAAATAAGGACAGCCAGATATGATGGTGCACATATTTAATCCCAGCCATCTGGAGGCAGAGGCATGTGATGTCTGTGAGTTTGAGGCCAGCCTAGTCTATATAGCATATTTTAGACCAGTCAGGGCTACATATTGGAACTCTTCTCTCAGAAACAAAAACCAAGGCCTAGGTGCAACAGAATGCACCTGTAATCTCAGCACTGAACCAGTACAGACAGGAGAATCCTTGAAGCTCACTAGCTAACCAGCTTAGCAAGACTGGACCAACCCCAGGTTCAATAAGAGATTCTACCTCAAAAAACAAGAGCAATGGAGGAAGATCCTGACATCAACATCTGGTCTTCAAACACATGCATACTTATATGTGTGTGTACATAAACAAGCACATTCACACATAAATACCCTCCAAAAAGTAGAAACTGGTTTGAGGAGATGGATGAGTCAATAAAATGCTTGCCTTGTAAACACAAGGACCTGAATTAGATACCCAGAACCCACATAAATAACCAGGGCATGGTTGCATGCTTGTAATCCCAGCCCTAAGGAAGTGATGACTCTGGAATACTGGTGCTTGCTGGCCAAACAACACAGTGTTTCAAAAACCAAGGTGGGCCAGGTGTGTTGGCACATGCCTTTCTTTAATCCCAGTAGTCTGGAGGCAGAAGCAAAAGAATTCCTAAGAGTTCCAGAACAGCCAGGGCTGCATAGAGAGAGCTGTCTCAAAACAAACTAAAAAACTAGATGGTGCCCCAAGAAGAACACCCTTTGGCCTGCCCCCCAACACACACACACACACACACACACACACACACACACACACACACACACACACACACAGTCCCACACATGAACATACTCCACACATACATACACAGTATATGGATCCATAGACACGAACATACTCCATACACACATACAAAGGCACATGCACCCACATATATTAACATACTCGACACAAACATATATAGCCATGTGAATCCACACACATGTACATGTACACAGATATAAAAATAAGAGCATATCTATAATGAAAAGACAGGTACTAACAAATGTGAACAAGGATGTGGAAGAAACAGGAAATTATACTCTTGTGGTAGAAATGTACAGCCATTCTCAATAACAATGCAGCAGTTTCTCACAATATAAAGCACAGATTAGTGGTATGGTCCAGCAACACCATGTCTCAGTACCATCTGTCCACACAAAGCATTCCATGAAAATGCTGATGGCAGCTTTGTTCATTCATAATAGCCAAAGAAACAACTCAATGTCTGCCAACTGGCCATCAGTAAAGACAATGTGGCCTACCACACAGCAAAGTATCACGAATGGCCTCTGAACATATAAGCAGAAGCGGTTGGAAGTAAAAGCCCACACCACACACCACACATAGCACACGATCCTGCTTATGTCTGCAACAGCCATCCCTATATAAGTAGAAAGACTGGTCACCTGGTCCAATGACTACAGAACATTCTAAAATGACTACAGACTGTGGCAATGGTTCCACAGCTTTGTATGTTTGCTGAAGTTTACTGAACTGTTCACTTAAAATAAAAATGTTTGTCTGTTTATTCATTTGTTTTTGAGACAGGTTCACTATGTAGATCAGGCTGACTTTAAACTCACAGAGATCTACCTGCCTCTGCTGGGATTAAAGGCCACACTATCTGGCCTAAAATAGGCCAAGTTTACAGCATACAAATTGTACCTCAGAGAGCTGCTTTTACAAAGTTGTAAGACTTTGAGAAAGGACAACCAATTCTTATGTGGCACTAACCCTCAAACGAGACACTCAAGCTCTCTCCTTAGTTGTGTGCTGACTTTATTGTCACTGCTGGGAAAGGTTTTATTTCTCATTCTCAAATCTCAGCAGGAACTCAGTAGACTCTGGGAATACCCTTTTAGGGCAATGGCTCTGACCCTGTTCATTTAAAGCTTTAGACATCCCCCCAACACACACACACACACACACACACACACACACACACACACACACACACACACACACACACACACTCTCTTCCACTTCCCAGTGGAAAAGGAACTGTAGAACAGCAGAGGTCACTGACATGGAAGAAGAATTTTCGTAGCAGGTAAGGAGCTCACAGAAGCCATGGGAAGACCAAGCAGGGTGGGGACAGACAGCTATCAGGAAGACCCTCAGCTCTGCCATGCACCAGAGGACTGACTCTAAGCTCATACTGGGCCCGGTGTGACACAACTGTGTGTACTGACTTAACACCTCAAAAACACAGGCTGGAGAGAAGGCTCAGCAGTTAAGCGCACTCGTTGCTCTTGCAGAAGATCTAGGTTGAATCCTAACACCCACAAGGCATTTAACAGCAGTCTATAACTCCAGTTCCAGGATATCCCACACCCTCTTTTGGTCTCTGAAGCTTCCTGCATATACATGGTACATACGCATACATACACACACAAAGGCAAACACTCATATACATAAATAAGTATTTTTTTTTTTTTAAAAAGACAAACAAAAAGCATACTTGGTCTTTGGCACATCACCACTGTTACTACTGAAGCTCAAACCAGCACTCTGCTCAGGCTTAGATCTCTGTGAAGCAACCTAACTGGTCTCTGCTGCACACATCCCTGCAGACACCACTTTTCTGCACACACTGCTCTGATACTGGGTCACACTCCCCCATGCCAGCCATGCTGGCCTTTCCCTCTTTTATGCCACAGGGCGTGTCCTGACCCACAGCCTTTCATTGGCTGTTTTCTTAGTGCACTCCGCTCAGCTATGCACAGCTCCAACAGCCTCTCCTTGCCGCACGGGACAGAGAAGTACTCCCTAACCGACCTACCCCAATAGACCTGCTCCACTCTATTACCTGCCTTTGCATGACTCAGGGAGCTGCTCAGTTGCTTAGTCCCTGTTCCCTGAGAGCGGAGATCCTGGTCAGCCTTCAGCTGTGTCATTAGTGCCTAGATCAGCATCAGGCATAAAGTGTGGACTACATAAATCCTCCAGCTGTAGTAGGACTGTTGAGTCCTGAAAAATACGTGCTTGTCTACCTTTTTATCTTCAAGGCTTCTTCACAAAAATTCAGGAATATTTACCTACTGAGTTAGTCCACATAACAGAAGGAAAATATTAGTGTGAAAGTAGGAAGTCATGATAATACAAGAACATAATTCTTGTCTAGTTAAGACATCTGGAGACATCTAGCAAATTCCATCTTCCCACAAGGTGGCACTGCATGGCAACAGGGAGCAATCCCACATTGCGATAACTCTAAATCAGAGGTTGTCAGGA